AGACACCAGCCCTCCGCCCACATGGCTGCCTTGCCCTTTACAAAAAGGATCTTATCAACGAAATTCCTACATAGCCTTCTTCATGGAATTTTCCTCATCCTTTGATAGACGATTCCGATATGAAGGTTCTAAGTAGTACCTTGAAGTCCAATGTCAACAATTACCGTATTTTCGGCTAGGTTGAAGGCAACAGCCACGCAGCCGGGCTCCCATAGCTTGATTTCCGACCATTATCACAAGCCTTCCAGCTAAAAATACGAATTCTGCTTTCCGATTTCCGTTTTCGCCTTGAAAGCGCTAGGTTTTTCTACAGTAAGCCACGATTTTCGCAACTTTTAAATATAGTGTCGGGTTCCAAACTCATCCATCATTACACGGGTAGTTCGCTCTATGGTGGACAGTCTGCAACGCGTGGGTTTAGACCCACTTCACCAGCATGCGTCTACAGTCTTCATAAGTTCACACCGCAGTCTTTTCTGTCCCCTCGAACCTTACTTGGGTATCACTCATAAGCGAAACGGCTAACATGGCTAAATTCTCTGCACTAAGCTCTATCGCGACCAAACAATCTAGAACCAAGAAAACAAGTCCTGCTCCACGGTGTAACCTTTCACTGCAGTTGTTCCGATTTCCGTATTCCGCATTGCTCTCCATTCTTCATTCTATACTCCTTTTTCTGTCCTCTTTAGACACATAAAGCAGCCATATCTTGATTTTTAAACTGCTCTCGCTGAAAAATTCTTATTCGCCTTCTCCATCGTTGAAGTACTTTATGGAGAGAAAGTGCCTTTCCTGTGCATATTAACTCAATTTGGACGCTTCGTCTCCATTTCTTGTGACGTCGGCTCGGTTTTCGTTACTTCTCTGCTCACTGCAAATGTTGCCAGCGCCATTCTGTTTCATCGACCTCACCACATCTCCAGGATATGTATTGATTTTCTCCGTTTTTTCCAGCTTGAGTATGAATCGAATGATCGCGGCTGCCATTCTGCTCACGTTCGCCGTTGTGTATGCGTTCCAACCAGATGATCAACTCTCAGGTGAGGAATTTCTCTACAAAACTAATGATTCCTACGACCTCCTCCGAGTCATGCCTATTGGCTTGGCCTACGTGTATCACCCAAGAAACCTTTCAAAGACCATGTCAGCCATGTTTTTTTGCACAACTCAAGATAGGTTATGAATTTCTCCAGTAGGATGACATCAGACGCCACGTCAGGCCAACGAGGTAATCCATAAAAGTGCATAGCTGGAGTTGAGGCATATCTAGTTCGGAAAAGATTTGTGATATGTAGGTAAAAATGGCTTCCTTTCACGTTCGGCTTTGAGCTTAAACACGGATAAAGGGGCAGCTCAAGGAAAACTTCTTCGAAATAAGGTTAATGCTCTTAGCATCAGCTCATGGCGACATCCCAAGAACTGAGAGATTTCCTAGATTCCTAGAGATTTTCTAGATTTCCTTTTCTGAAATTAGAGTAAACTGCATTATTTTGGAGATACATTTCGCAGTAATCAAGAGTTGTTTCACTGTTTGAAGTATAAGTATGTGAAGTGGACTGACAAGGGAGGTCGTTCAGAGTGTGCCAAGCT